TACGTGTGACTTTTTTTCATGGTTTGTGTGTTTCCTGTGACTTATTTTCCGGTGTGACTTCTATATTAAAATGTTTTTGAGTGAAGTGTGGAGAGGCTCTAGTCTTGTGTGTGAGTATCTGCTGCTCCTGTTCCTCCTGTACCACTGTCACTTGGCTCTACTGCGCATGTCTCCTGCAGAAAGAGCCTCTGTCCTGTCTGTAAATCGTGAAATATTCAGCCGAAAACGGTAATCGAGCAGCAGAAAGAAAGTTTGGAGTGAGCGAGAAACCTGTGACACCGGGAGGATGCACCATGAAACTTTCCTGAAGTCACTGGATGGATGGACAAAGCCTGGACTTCAGTGACACCGAAACCATCCTGTCGGGATTCAGAAAGACCCAATAATTCTAACTGGAACTGATGCTGAGTCTGACGACAGCGACACAGAAGAGGAAGCGGCGCTCTGTTTACCTCCAGATTTCGGTGGATCTATAATAATTTATTATAATTCTATGGGAGTTGCTCAGAAGTGACACCGAGGATGAAGAACTGAATGGATTTATCTGCAGGAGAGATGCGCAGAAGAGCCAAGTGTTTTGCCTTACTTATGGTGGCTTGTGTTGTTGCCAGATTGAATGTTTTTCCACTAAATATTAAAGACTCTTTACAGTGTGCAGCCGGGTTTCTGCCTGGAACATGAAAGAAATCTGACACCCTATTGATCGAAGTTAAATAGAAGCGCCTGCTGTTCACAGACACCAGAATGAACACGGTCACAGTTCATTCATCAGGCAGGAATACAGTGTGTTCAGTTCAGGTTCACCCAAAATATGAATGAAGGATGTTGAAGGACGTCTTCCTTTTTGGCATTTATTTATTCAACAGCAGCCAGTTTCAATCATTGCTATCGCAGCATCGCAGGTGCAACGTGGGTGGGATTTGTGGTGATGCTTTCATCTGTGGCAGCCGAGGGTCCGAAATGAGGACAAAATATCAAAAATGAGGACGTGTAACAGAGGTCCGGACAGAAGGTTCTACAACTGTACCAGTGGTCGAGCTTGTCGAAGCCTGATCCCGTCAGATCAGACCAGACACTGGGAAAATCAGGAGCCACAGGAGGCGCCAGAGCAAAAACTGTCATTGTGTCCTTAGGCAAGACACTTCACCCATATTGCCTATGTAACGTCGGTTGACCGTGAGCGGCTTGGGGTTCAGTGAGCAAGGTAAAAAAAAACAAATCCAGACACAGACCGGTACTTGTGGTCCACAGTTTACTTTTGGTTTTTTTTCAATGATTACAAAAGTGCAAGTGCAAAAAGTGCAGGGTGCAAAACGGAGGCAGGCAGCAGTTTCCTCTCCAGCAGCAGAACACAGACTGATCTTGAAGGCGCCTTTTATGCCGGTCCTACTGATTGGATAAAACCACTATGCTAAAACAGGGATGGTTAAAATTATCATTAGCGTAAAATTAAAACCTAAACCTCCATAAAACAACCCAAAACCCAGATAACTATTAAAACCACCAACTATATACATAAAACCCTAAAACCATTACACCAATTAAATGTTAAAACCCATAAACCAATAAAACACCTAACCTAAAACCCCTGTACAAAATGTTACACGTGGTCCAGCCCGGAACCATAAAAGAGGGAGCTCGTTTCCGGGGGACTCTTTTCACACCTGGACAGAAGATAAAAAGGGGAGGTAAGTAAAAGCAGATCACACCGTTCATTAAAACACAATAAAATACACTAAACACATCAACACTTCAAACATTCTAAAACAGATATTGCACCATATTTATTGCACAAAGTCAATTTAAAATGTAATTTGTTATTGTCTCCCTTTTCCTCCAGGGACAAGCAACTTCCAATTAAAGTGCTGTGCCTCAGGAATAAAAAATGGTTAAAGGAAAGACAATAAATATTTTTTAAAACCAATTGTGTGCAATTTATTTTGTGATGTGCAAATATGTTAAAAGTGCTGTGTGCAAGGAAAGTGCAGTGTTTTAAAGTGCTCTAGTGAAGGGTGAAGGTGCTAAGTGTGGTTCTAGGGTAACAAATAGTGATGGGCAGATGAAGCTTCATGAAGCATTGAAGCCTTTCATCCAGTTGCTTCACTCTGGTGCAAAGCTTCCTGAAGCTTCATTTGCTCTAGTAGGACGTCTACTGGATGCAAAAAATATCAGTTGACATGAATTTGAAGTGTGTTGCATTTTGCAGAAAGCCTGTGAATAAAACTGTCAGCAAAGTAAAGAAGTATGCAAAACATGTATATTGTAGTGATGTATACTGTGTGTGTATATATATATAAATATATATAAATATAAATACTTTTATATATGTATATAGTATGGAGAATTATTATTTGGAAATTATGAAAAAGCTAATGATCATTTCCAGTGAGGTGAGGGGGGTTGGGGTTGGAGTTTGGACAGTGATTGTGCTTTTGTAACGTTGGGTGATTATGGTTCAGGGACACATCATTGGTTTTTATTTAAAAACAACAGTTTCTCCACTGTGGCAGGTCTCAGGCCATTTCTTTTTTTTTGACAATATTTCTCCTGCTTTCGAAAACACGAGCTCACAGGGCACAGATGAGGCAGGCGGACACAAGAATGCCACTGCTAATTTATATAAATGGGGATAGACATATTTCTGTCCTCCAGCCTTCCAGTATTTGGCTCCATCATGCACCGTTGGACCTCAGTATGTGCGTCTGCTATTACATTTTGTGTTTGTGTCTGTCTGACTCTGTCATTCCAGGCGACGCCACAGGTTGTTACCTAAGAAATAAGAATTGTTTTTTTGTGAGTTTAAACTGTCTCCAAACTTCCAAACTCTCACTGATCGCAACTCTCCATCAAACACCCACATTTTGAATGAAGACTGAGCAGTTTATGTCGCTGTTAAAACTCGCGGCAAAACCCGAACCACTTCCTGAATCAGTCACGTGGTACAGCCGGGCAGCGAGGCTTCGGACGTCATCATTTTCAGCTCCTCCCCTAAATGAATCAAGCCTCGATAAGCGCTTCGCGGAAACGCCCCCTCCTCTACTCGACACACGCCTCGAAGACTCGACACGGAACGTCACATCACTAGTAACAAACCAGCCTGTTTGTTACAGCCTAGTATGAAAGTGGTGTGTGTGTGTGTGTGTGTGTGTGAGTGATGGAGGTGATCGGAGGGGCGCAGATTGGCATGGCAGCGGCGCTTCGTTAGTCTGCCCCAGGGCAACTGTGGCTACAATAGTAGTTTACCACCACTGGGTCTGGAGTGAATGAATATTGATCTGTAAAGTGTCTTTGTTCAAATGTCAGTGAAAAGTCCTATATAAATAAAAGCTTAATTTCTTACTTAGTTACTTAAAACTGGACTGTCGGGCCAAAATCTGGATGGACGGTCACCCTAGGTCCACAAATATGGATTAGACAACAGTATTAAACAGTCTGCATCATTATCCATGTTTATAATCAATTGAAAGCATAAACTGATGGATAAAGATGGTGTTTGACTGAGTACAGCTGATGTTCTTCTTTTGTGTGTTGATCTGAACATACAAACCCATATACAAATAAACAGACACAAGTCAATTCATTATTTTATATTTAACTAATCTAAATCCAGTGTCGGGGAGTAACAGATTACATGTACCAGAGTAATCAGAGTACAAATGATGAGTAACTGTATTCAGTTACAGTTACTGTTTCAGTGAGTGGTAATTGGATTACAGTTACTTTGTTGAAATAAATGGATTACACAGAGGGATTTAACTGTTTTCACATTTGGGGCTAAATCCAAAATGTGATTTAAACATTTTTTTTCTCAGTAATTCCACTCATTGCCGGACACTAAACCAGGTCTAAAACCAGGTCTAAACCAGGTCTAAACTAGGACTAAACAGGACTAAACCAGGACTAAAACCAGATCTAAACTAGGTCTAAACTAGGACTAAACCAAAACTAAACCAGGACTAAAATCAGGTCTAAACTAGGTCTAAACCAGGTCTAAAACCAGGTTTAAACTAGGTCTGAACTAGGACTAAACCAGGACTAAACCAGGACTAAAACCAGGTCTAAACTAGGACTAAACCAGGTCTAAACCAGGACTAAACCAAAACTAAACCAGGACTAAAATCAGGTCTAAACTAGGTCTAAACTAGGTCTAAACCAGGTCTAAAACCAGGTCTAAACCAGGACTAAAACCAGGTCTAAACCAGGTCTAAAACCATGTCTAAACCAGGTCTGAACTAGGACTAAACCAGGACTAAACAAGGACTAATCCAGGACTAAAACCAGGTCTAAAGTAGGTCTAAAACCAGGTCTAAACCTGGTCTAAACCAGGTCTAAAACCAGGTCTAAACTAGGTCTAAACTAGGTCTAAACCAGGTCTAAAACCAGGTCTAAACCTGGTCTAAACCAGGTCTAAAACCAGGTCTAAACCTGGTCTAAACCAGGTCTAAAACCAAGTCTAAACTAGGTCTGAACTAGGTCTGAACTAGGACTAAACCAGGACTAAACCAGGACTAAACCAGGATTAAACCAGGATTAAAACCAGGTCTAAACCAGGACTAAAACCAGGTCTAAACCAGGTCTAAATCCAGGTCTAAACTAGGTCTGAACTAGGACTAAACCAGGTCTAAACCAGGTCTAAAACCAGGTCTAAACTATGTCTCTAACAGGATTTAACAGGACTAAATCCTGCTGCGTGGACCATGTCTCTTCTATCCATAATATTTTGAATTTGGTTCAGTAAAGTTTGGGCTTTTTATTTTCTTTTATCAGACAAAACATTTAATGTTACTATTTCCTCGAGGGTCTTTGTTTCTCTACAGCAAATCAAGTAATCCAAAGTAATCAGATTACATCACTCACTTTAAGTAAATTAATAGGTTACGTTACAAACTACATTTTGGGGTGTGTAATCTGTAATCTGTAGGGAAATACATTTTAAAAGTAAACTTCCCAACACGGTCTAAATCGAGCAGATGACCAAAGACGACACGGAGAGTTTAAAGTTATTATCAAATGTGTTTATTTGAATTGGGGCAGTGATGCAGCGTCGCGTGGACTCACACAGACCACGTGCTTAGAGTCACGATCGTTTCCATCAGCGGACAACGTCAAGCTTCAACTCGAGACCAACAACATCGTACAACCTTCTGTGTTCAACCGTTTAAAGCTGCACTGTGGAACTTCATGATCTGGGGTCCGTCATTTGCTCGTTTCTGTGGAAAAATCACTGCAATGCCTGGAATTTACAGCTGGTTTTATCGCTCAAAAACACCTAGAAAAACGACATTCTGACTGCGCGCGGCGTCGCCTCTCCACAGACGCGACCTGTAACTTAACTTGCTCTGGTTTGGTCTCCATGGTGACAGAAAGGTTTAACTTCCCTGTGGATCAAATAAACTCCGTCTAAGTTTACGCCGAACTGTGAAAAATTCCGGACGAAGCGACAACATTTCCACAAAAAAAAAAAAAAAAAAAAAAGCATTTGACGGACCTTCCACCAGAAAAGTTACACAATGCAGCTTTAATAATCGCACAAAATGACATCGATTTTCTACATTGTTTATATTTCTTTATAACTGACATGAAAAAAAAATAAAAACAGAGAACTTTAAAGAGTTTTTTTTTTTTTTTTTGGAATGCCCTTATTTAAAACCGTAGTAACCGTAGTAACGCCTCCTGCTCGTACATACCGTTTGCATTCACTTAAAGGTCGTATGGAGGATTTTTTTTTTTGTTTCAAATTGTCAATGAAAGTTTAAAATACCATTAGAGACGCAACAGCCTTGTAATTATGATGACCAAAAAAAGAAAATCTCTCAACTGTGGACGTAGTGAGGCCAGATAAACATCAGCCAATAGAAAACGAGGCTGTCTCATTTTCTATTGGCTGTTAAGTTGTCAATCAAACTCCTTACGTTTCTAGTGTAACTGACTCGTTGGCGCGCTGGTAATTACGTGGTTTACGCAGCGGTTCTTAGAGGCTTTTTCAAACTGTAGCTTCCTCGCAGTTCGCACAAAGTTTGTTGCGAAGGCGGACGAGAATCCACGGCCGGTTCGCCGCAAAAGAAAGTCTGTTTTTGAGGTCGCTGAAAGAAGAAGAGAAGGGGAAAACAAACTGAGGTGATTTTTGGAGATTTCTTCCAGCGATGGCGCGACTGAAGCAGACGAAGAGTCTAAAAACTGATGTTACGTAAATTACTTCTAGACAGGTCACTTCAACAGTGATTCTGAATGTGCACTGGATGTAAACAAGTGTGATTTCTAGAGTAAAGAGGCGGAGCTGTGGAGGAGGAAGGTGGTGTGACTTATGCACAACATTTGAAAAAGAACGTCGCTGTATTTCTCTTCCCTTAAAAAATCCTCTATACAACCTTTAACGTTTCTTATTCGCATGAGATAAAACGCCTTGGACTGCGGCCCTAAACGCTAAACATGTCGTCGTCTTTACATAAGGGGGATTATCCGAGGTTCTGTTCTGTTCTGTTCTGCGGTGGGATTTTGAAAACGGACGTGGGCGGAATATGCATTTTTATTCGGCTTTTGTCGGGCGGCCATCTTGTTTGTTTACATGATGTCCTGCTGGTGCTGCGTGGACTCGCTCACCACCTGAAAAACAAAAATAAATACGGCGTTAATTTATGGAGGTTTTTTGTTTTTTTTAGGAAGGGTGCGCGGGTTTGTGCGTGGGCAGTCGGAAAAAACGTGGAATTTAGTGAACCAAAGCGACATTTCGGCCGCTGGAAATACAAAAACGGCCTCATGTCGCTGTCATTAAAGACGGGGTGTAACATATTTAGATCAACTTGTAATATTTAATAAGATTTAATAAGATCGCAGGCCGGAAAATACCAGATAATAGCCTGGGCGTGTATTTGTTTCAATCACGTAACAGACCAGGCTTTTATTTGAGACCAGGCAGCAATTTGGAGCTGGCGATTAAATCCTTTCTCACAAAAATCCTTCTCAGCAAAACTGGGAAAATATTGAACTCAAATTCCTTTAACCGGTATAATCCGTGTGTCATTCGTTTATTCGTTTTTCAAAATAAAATCAAAAATAAGAAAATGAAAAAAACAACAATTTTCTTCATTATTTGTCTCCAAAACCAAAATGAAAAAAAAATAGATAATGATTTGTTTTTTCAGTTTTTGATTTTGTGTTTAAATGAAGAATGGAAAAAAATGGATAACGGACTGAACCAGACCAGAACAATCCGTGTATCATTCGTTCATTCGTTTTTCAATATAAAACTAAAAATAAGAAAACGAAAAAACAACAGTTTTCTTCGTTATTTGTCTCCAAAACCAAAATGAAAAAACGGATAACGATTCGTTTTTTCAGTTTTCGATTTTGTGTTTAAATGAAGAATGGAAAAAACAGATAACGGCCGTTTCCCGTTTACGTGACTTCCGTGACTGTGATACCGAACTTTTGCACCGGGTACGGACTGAACCAGGACTGATCCAGGTCCGAGACCAGAGCGGGACTGAGACCGGACCAGACCGGACCAGAGCGGGACTGAGACCGGGACCAGACCGGGACCAGGGACCAGGCGGACTCCGAGCTTTGACTCCGAGCCTCCACGGGGTCCGAGCCTCAGCTTCGAGCTCCGGCCCTGCCATGGGCTCTGAGCCTCCGGTCTGGTCCCGGTCTGGTCCTAGTCTTGTCTCGGTCTCGGTCTCAGGCCCGCTCTGGTCCCGGTTTGTGGGCGGAGCGTTGCACAGAATCGTACTTCTAATTTTAAGGGTGAGTTGTAAATGTAAAACCTTTTCCGGTGTGTTTTTGATGAGTGATTTTTTGTAATACCCCGTTTTTAATAGTTTAAGAGTGAATAAAGTGAAGTTGAAAACATAAACAGTGGTTCAGAGGTGAATAAGTGAAACGAGTGAGTTAGTTTGAGAATAACACGCAGGGCCGGTTCTAGTTTTCTGGGGGTCACCATTTTAAAAAACTACAATGACAAGATTCTTACGTAATACAGTAAAACTCAAAAACAGTGGGAGGCTTCTGGTTCTGCAAAATTGACCAGACTTTCCCCTCAGACTAGTGGAAAAAATGTAGAATAAGAGTTTGAATGTTTGAGTCCACAATTCATGACAAACAACAATTTTAATTTTTGTTTTGGGTTGATTATAATCTTTCTTTATATTAAATATTTTTGTATTTTTATGTGTTTATTTTTAACATGGAAAAAAACTGGTTTTAGTCCTGATTTTAGTCTGGTTTAAACCTGGTTCAGTCCTGGTTTAGTTCTGGTTTAGACCTGGTTTAGTTCTAGTTTAGACCTGGTTTAGTCCTGGTTTAGTCCTGGTTTAGTCATGGTTTAGTCCTGGTTTTAGTCCTGTTTTAGTCCTAGTTTAGTCCTGGTTTAGTCCTGGTTCAGTCCTGTTTTAGTCCTGTTTTTTTCCCCTGGTTTAGTCCTGCTTTAGTCCTGGTTTAGTCCTGCTTTAGTCCTGGTTTAGTCCTGTTTTAGTCCTGTTTTAGTCCTGTTTTAGCCCTGGTTTAGCCTGGTTTAGTCCTGGTTCAGTCCTGGTTTTAGACCTGTTTTAGTCCTGGTTTAGTCCTGGTTTAGACCTGGTTTAGACCTGGTTTAGTCCTGGCTTAGACCTGGTTTAGTCCTATTTTAGTCCTCTTTTAGTCCTGTTTTAGTCCTGGTTTAGTCCTGGTTCAGTCCTGGTTTAGACCTGTTTTAGTCCTGGTTCAGTCCTGGTTTTAGACCTGTTTTAGTCCTGGTTCAGTCCTGGTTTAGACCTGTTTTAGTCCTGGTTCAGTCCTGGTTTTAGACCTGTTTTAGTCCTGGTTTAGACCTGGTTTAGACCTGATTTAGTCCAAAATCTGTTCCTCCTGAAGCTGAATATTTCACTGTGGCGCCCCCTGGTGGTTCGTGAGGCTCGGTGCATGAACCTGGAGCTAGAAACGGCCCTGGAGACAAACTCGTGAACTCTTTTATTTTTTTTTATTTTTTTTAAAATTTGTTTTCATGTTGTGTCCGTAGTTTTTCAGTGTTACTCTCAGTGAGGATGGACTTACAGCGTGGGCACCCTGGCTCACAGAGTACTTCATCTGACGGGCACAACACACGGGCATGAAGAGGAGGGCATGAGGGGGGTATGGGGGCAGGTTCTGGTCCTGGTCCTGGTCTGGGTCCTGTTCCAGCTCTGGTCTACTTCTGGTCTGGTTTTAGTCTGGTTTTAGTCTGGTTCTGGTCCAATACTGGTCTACTTTTAGTCTACTTGTGGTTTGATTCTTGTCTGGTCCTGGCTTGGTTCTAGTCTGCTTCTGGTCTGGTTGTGGTTTAGTCTAGTCTAGTTCTGGCCTGGTTCTTGTCTGCTTCTGGTCTGCTTCTAGTCTAGTTATGGTCTAATCTGGTTCTGGTCTTCTTCAAGTCTGGTTATGGTTCTGGACTAGTTATCGTCTAGCCTGATCCTGGGCTACGCCTGACTTGGTTCTAGTCTGGTGCTGGTCTAATTTTAGTCTGGTTCTGACCTGGTTCTGATTCTTGTCTGGTCTTACTATGGGTCTGGTTGTAGTCTAGTCCTAGACTGGTTGTAGTCCTAGTCTGATCCCAGTGTAGTCCTGATATAACCTTGGTTTGCTTCAGTTCTAGTCCTGGTTGAGTTCCAGGTTTAGTCCTGATGTAGACTCAGTTTAGTCCAGTTCTAGTCCTGGTTTAGTCCTGTTGTAGACTCAGTTTAGCCCAGTTCTAGTCCTGGTTTAGTCCTGTTGTAGACTCAGTTTAGTCCAGTTGTAGTCCTGGTTGAGTTCCAGGTTTAGTCCGGGGTTTTGGGGAGCACACACACCTCTCCGTCGCGGGTCTCGATGGTTTTGATGAGCACAGTTTTCTTGGAGTGAACCTCAGAGGAACGCTGCTTCTGGGACTCTGGACTAGTCTCTGCAGATACACACAAAACACACACAAACACACACACAAAACACACACAAACACACACAAAACACACACACACACAAAACACACACACACACAACACACACACACACACACACACACAAAACACACACAACACACACACAAAACACACACACACACACACACACAACACACACACACACACAAAACACACACAAAACACACACAAACACACACACACACACAACACACACAAACACACAAAACACACACATACACACAAACACACAAACATACACACAAAACACACAAACACACACAAACAAACACAAAACACACACAAACACACAAACATACACACAAACACACAAACATACACACAAAACACACAAACACACACAAAACAAACACAAAACACACACAAACACACAAACACACACAAACACACACAAACAAAACACACACAAACACACACAAAGACACACACAAACACACACGTTAGAAAATCTGGTCTGAGATGACATTTCTAGTTATAAATCTAATATACATGAATAAATATTACACTTTTTTGTATTTAGATTTAAAGGTGCACTGCGTAACTTTTTGACTGGGGGTCCATCACCTGCTTGTTTCTATGGAGATGTCACTGCTGAGCCTGGAATGTTCCACAGTGTGACATTAAACAACTCTACTTTACATTTACACGTCCTAACTTGTCTTGTCATGTTGTCCTAGTGTTCTCCAGTATACGCATTATTGGTTGTGCACATGCAAGGTTGTAGGGTCAAGCACAGTCATTGCATATTCTGTTTTACATAAGGTGTGTAACAGGTGTTACGGGAGTATTATTGCACCATGTCCAGACCGTATCCTGAGAAGTACCAGATTCAAATACTTGCTCGGCTACATATGGTGTACATATCAGAGATGCATAGGTAACAAGGATGGTATTAAAGCTGCGCCTATCGATATCATGATAACACGTACCTATAATGTGAGTTAACGGATAATGATCTTTATGGTCTCTACACTGTACTATATTGAACCTATATGTAGACAGATCTCAGCATAGTTCGCCTCATCTATATATACAAGCATTAACCTATCAGTTATAGAACAGTATCTAATACTCACTCTAAACTTTGTACACGCACGAACTACTGTAACCCAGTTAAATATCATCTCACAACTACATATAGACAACAACACTTAGTGTAGACTAGAATAATATTCTTCCTACAAATCTGTACAATCAAACTCTTAGATTTTAATCGATTGAATACTTCCGCTACTACTGTTACAGCACAGACAATCTTATGTATTCCGTTATTAACAGTTGGTCGTCACCTTATCTTGGAGCGTGTTATGCTAGTAGCAACCTTATGTATTGTACGAGAGTTAATGGACCTTGTCCTCGTGCTACAGTGATCTTGTTACACAGCTCTTATGTGTTAAGCTAGATAGATACTGCTCGCGCGTACGAGTACTGGTACTATACATTCAACTTGTATGTATACAGTTAGAGATCTCTCTGATCATCTTGTTGATTCATGAGCGATTCTATACTTTGAGTTATAGCAGATAGAGACTCTTCGTGAGAGTGTGTGTATTCAGCGAGATTCACTACTATGTTGTATATAGATTAGTTCGTCTTCTACAGTGACATACATTATTGGTAATTCGAGTGATTAATATCGTGTGCCTCTAAGTCATTACTGTTAGCAACAATTGTGTTTTTCTACAGCTTAGTGTAATGCATGTTATAGTAGTGTGTATCTTTTTGCCTATCAGACTATATGGTTTGGTGTGCATACAATTTGCACTAGCTCACTTATGTAAGCTAGATGTGATATATTTCGCCCGTAGCAACTGTTATTCAAGTTTCACGTTTAGTGTTTCAACAGATAATGAGCTTCCGCTATGATATCTGTTGAGAGCGTTATACTCGCTCTTTGTAGTTTTGTTTCTGAGTGTTTATTTTAAGCTTTGGTATCATTTTATTCATTTAATAAATGAGTTGTTATATTTGACGAAATTTTTTTGCTAGCTGTTATTTTAGTGAGATGTTATTTACATTTCGTTCTGTTTTGTGTTATTAATGTTTAGTTGGTGTTATGTATTATGCGTGAGGCTTACTTGTGTTTCTAAGTGAGTATTTTGATAGTTTTTAAATTGTGTGAGCAGGTGGGTTTTTATTGCTCAAAAACATACCTAAAAATACAAACAAAACCAAAAATAAAAAAATGTAATGCCATACTGTGGGTTTTTTGTGTGTGTTTGATCATTGATAGAGACATAAGCAATATACAGCATACTCTGAGGGAGAGAATGCGTTTGATAAGTAGGAGCTCTCCTACCAAGAATAAGTTAGCGCTATGAGATGCACTTTTAAAGCTGGTAGTATGTGTAGACTTTTTCACTGTGCATAGATTAAGAGTCGGGTCGTGGAGAGGCAAGCCGATACATACAAGTAATCATTTAATTGAACTATGAATAAATTAGCATGTTTTGTTGTGTAAAATCAGACACGATGCTGGTTATCCTAGAACCCTCGCGCCTTCACACGAACGTCCTCCCTGTGGTCCACACCACCGACGAGACACGCCATGCGCAGGACCGTGACCAGTGTGCCAAAAGTACAGGTCATTTTCGAGTTATCATTTAGACTTCAGACATGTATGATGGGGATGCACACAATGTAAAAATAGATGCCTGTGTTGGTGGAGACTTTCACGCGGACCTTCATGGTGATAAACCTGACTAGTAGCAGACTGCGCTGTGTATAGCTTTAAGTGCAGCAGGCCACAGCCAAGACGAGAAAGGAGATCAGCGCACGAGATTGTGCTCAGCGTCGTTTGCTCACTCGCTCTCACTGTAATCCGTTTTAGAACCTAGGTTTTAAGATTTTAATTGCTATTAATGTCCTGTTGTCAAAAGCACTTTTGAATAGGAACCCACAATGGATACTATCAGAAAACCATCATCCAGCTCGTGCGGCGTTACTAGGCCCATTTTAACTAGCGTTCGATTTCCTTCCCAAATCGGTTTTTTCCGAGAAAGTTTGCCTAGTGACACACACGCCGAACACGAGTCCTCGGGGAAAAAACGTCACCGAGCAAAGATTCTGAAGATCAGACTCCAGGCTGACTGCGCCCACATGTGACGTGTAAAGATATGAAGGTGATTTTGCCATGTGTGTTTGGACACTTTGGTTGGTTATAAATGACTATTATCACACTGAGGTACTTTCTGGAGTACTCTATTACCAGAAATCTGTTATCACTCAGTACTTTACTGCGGTCTGTAATCACTGCAGTACTTTAACTGCGTCTGTGATCACGTATGTACTTTTACCACACCGGACTCGGGATTGTCTGTATCACTGCAATGTAGCTTATAACTCTGGGTAATACGTGTCTGGTATCAGTCTGCAGTACCTATTAACCCAGCGTCTGTTCATCGGACTGCAGTTTACTAACTATTTAACCCTGGAACTTCTAACCAAGGACTCATGAACTGAAGGCGTTCTCGTAATATACTGCAGTAATAACTGTGGTCTCTCGTGGATTACTTGCAGTACTTACGCGTCTGTTATTAGAAGCTAGTTACCTTATACCGGCATCTGTACCTAGCATTAACTCATCTACCGCATCGGGAGTGAGGTTAGTCACGTAACTTTAGTCCGCGATCTGCTCTAATTACTGCGAGAAATACTCTATTACCGTCTCCGTATTAACTGCAGTACTTTACATGTGCTCTGAGTATGCGGACTGCAGTACTACTTAGAACGATCTCGCTATACTTACTGACAGTACTCTTAACTGATAGTCTGTATCACACTGCAGTAAAGGTTTACTCAACGTCTGTAGTTACTGCAGCTACATTGTACTGTGTCTCATCTATTACTGCAAGATTACTTTACTGACGTCTATCACACCTTGGAGCTAGTACTTTACGTGGTCTGATATTACTAGCAGTACATGACCCTTAACCAAGACATCTGTATTACTGCAGTAAAGCTTTACTGTCAATCTGCTCTAATCAACTGGAGCACGTTAACTTTACCGCGTCCCTGTAATCAAAATGACGCAAGGTGACTTTATCCAGGGCACTCCTGTATCATACTGACAGTACCTATGTACCCGATGCGTCTCAGTATTCTCAGAGAAGTACATTTAAAACCAGATTGAAGAGAACAGAGCATCCTTATATACATATTAGCAGTACTTTACCGCGATCTAACTGTAAAGACAACTTAGGCAGTACTTTGATACACCAGGATCTGTATCCACTCGCAGTATAACTGCTTAGACAAGAACAGGCCCAGAACTAAGACTAGACTTAGCAGCTCTGTATCACTGCAGTTACTTTACAACCCAGACCAGAAGCAGACTAGAACCAAAGCCCAGGACAGTACAATATACCCAATCAACGTCTAGTATCACTGCACAGGTACTATGTTAACCGGAGCGTCTGTAATAAGAGCAAGTACGTATTACCGCATCTGTATGCAATATGCAGTACTTTACCGCGTCGTGGACTCAATCACTGCGAAGTAACATATTATCTCGATAAACATTACTCACATGAGCATGAGTACTTATTAACAGAGGGAAGAGCGTCGTGTATCAGTGCAGCTCGACTATATAACCGCGTCTGTGATTAACTAGGCACCTCAGACCAGGCAGGACAACCTTGCCCCTAATACACACACCCCTCATGCCCCTCTCTTCATGCCCTGTGTAGTTGTGGCTACAACGTAACAGATAAGAGGTACTATACCCACTTCTGTATCACTCGCATGTACTTTAGACCGCGACTCTGTATTAAGAGCAGTACTGGTTGACTGCCATCTCGTGCATCTGTAGTACCTTGTTATACCAGGTCCCGTACTGTACTCACAATACAGTTAACTGAATTATCACAGTGCTGTTAATCACACCTCTGACAATAAACTCTTTATACGGAGATCTAGCTCTTAATTGCACTGACTAACTTTTACCGACGATCTGTATTACTATAGCAGTTACTTTACCACATCTGTATAATATAGGCGTACTATATTACCGGCGCTTGTAACTGCACTGCAGACGTATTTAACCTGCTCCTGTTATCCACTGACAGTAGCTTGTACCCTTTCTGACGGTCTGTATTCAGAGCTGCACGTAATTTTACCTTCGTCTGATCACCTGACGTACGATTACCCGCATCTGTTACTCTCGAGAGAGTACCAACTTCTCACCGCATCTGGTATGTACTGCGCGAGCGTCATTACCATCACGTGCGTGTATTAACTGTCAGTATCTTTACTACGAGTCTGTATCAGGAGGAACACTAGCAGTACTTTGGATCTACCAAATCGCGTACGTGATACTAGCAAAGCTCAAGCGTTGTCATACACACCACGAGTGATATTACTAAAAGCGTACTAGTACTAACCTTAAGGCACCTGAGAGCGTCTGTATCAAGCTGCACCTGATTACCATTATATCGTGAGCGTGGTAATTTAAACTCGAGCACGTAGACTATTCACCGAGCGCTGTATTGAGCACTCTGCAGTAAGGCTTTACCATGTCTGTATTTACTGAGCAGATCACCCTATAACGCAGCTGTCGTGATTACACTGAGAGGTACCTAAATATTACACGTTCGCATCCTAATCTACTGCAAGTAACTGACTTACCGAACGAGAGCGTAGAACCATGTATGAGCCTAGTAACTAAACTTACCACGTCTGACTAAATTAAGACGGTGCAAGTCACTTATACCGCATCTGTTATATAACAACGTGCAACAGTACTTATACCAACCAGGTCTAGGCGCCAGGACTCAAATGGCCTATGGGTTCATACAGCAAGTACTTTAACCACGGGTCTCGTTATGACTGCAGTCTATTACACGCGTCATTAGTATTACAATAACAGTACCTTTAACGCCGCAGCACGTTAAATTAAACTCCAGGTTCTAAAAACAGGACTGCAGAGTACTTTCACCAGGGCGCTGTATATACTTAAGCCAGCTAATTGTTACGCAGCTGATATTACAGCCACGTAAGCGTTCACCTGAGTCTGTAATATACCAAACTTGCAGTACTTTACCGCATCTGTATTATGCAAGTACTTTACCGCGTCGTGTATTAACTTGGACAAAACGTACATGGTTAACTCGGCGTCTAGTAACACTGAGCAAGTGGAAGCTTTCATCGCGTCTGTATTACACTGCAAATACCTCAATTAGCCGAGCGAAACGGCGAAATTGGACTGAGTACTTAACGCGCCTCAGATAATTACGCTACTGAGACAGTAAGCTTTCAGCCGACTAAAACCAGCGTCTGTATCTACTGCAAGTACTTTACCGGCGCTCTAGTATGGGAAAACTGAGAGATAGCAGTACATTCCTCAAAGGACGTACAAATAGTACTCATGAGCTTGCACCGTAACACTTGGATCACCGCCGTCTGATATATCCAATGCAGTACTTTACCACATCTGTATTACTGCAGTACTTTACCGCGTCTGTATCACTTCAGACTTTACCCGTCTGATCACTGCAGTACTTACCGCGTCTCTTACTACTATCAGTACTTACTTTACCGCATCTGTATTATCTGCATTAAACATCTTATCACGTCTGTATTACGCATACCGCTACCTATATCTTACTCTTTAAACTAAGGACCACATCTGAAGGAGTACATAAAAAAAACACACCAAGCAGTACTTATCGGTCTGTAACTAAAAAAAAAAAAAAAAAAAAAAAAAAAAAAAAAAAAAAAAAAAAAAAAAAAAAAAAAAAAAAAAAAAAAAAAAAAAAAAAAAAAAAAAAAAGCCAGTACTTTACCGCGTCTTATCACTGCGTACTTTACCGCGTCTGTACTACTGCAAGTACTTTATCTGTCTTACTGCGTACTTCTGTATATCTGTATTACTGCAGTACTTTAACTTTACGCGTCTGTATTCACTGCAGTACTTACTTTCGCGTCTGTAGTCTTTACTGCAGTACTTTATCGCGTACTGTACTTTACCGCGTCTGTATACTGCAGTACTTTATCGTCTGTACTGCAGTACTTTATCTGTTACTGCAGTACTTTACTGCGTCTGTATTACTGCAGTACTTTATCGTCTGTCTGCAGTATTACTGCAGTACTTTACTGCGTCTGTATTACTGCAGTACTTTACCGCGTCTGTATTACTGCAGTACTTTTGTATACTACTATTACTGCAGTACTTTACCGCGTCTGTATTACTGCAGTACTTTACCGCGTCTGTATTACTGCAGTACTTTATCGTGTCTGTATTTCTGCCTGTGGGTTTGGTCTGTGTTGTGGTGAGGCCAATATCCCTAAGGACATAATGCTGAAAAGAAATCATAACATAAAATAAAGAGCAAATTTCAAAAATCTAATTAATTAATTGGCAGCGTTTTCATAAAATGAGGGAATATTCATGATCATGATCCACGCAGTCCGACTCGCCAAACATAATATTACACTTCAAGCTCGGACGTGACTTCAAACTCCGAGGTCTAAGTGGGAGTCGGAAGAAAATCGAACGCAGGATCATTTCTTTTCTTGGCTGTCTTCATTTCTGCTGTGAGAGCCCTCGCAGATGATTGGTGGACTGCTCTCCTGACTGGTCCTGATTGGCCGTTGGATTCTGGCCCGTGATTGGTGGGGCTTGTCTACGCCCGCCTCACCTCCAGGCTCCTCCCCCTATTTAAGGAGAGTCCCAGCACCTGTTCAGGGCCGTGGTGTTTGTGGTCAGTCTGACATTTTGTGTTTGTGTCTCTTTCGCGTCAGTCGTTTTGTTTTCGTACTAGTTCGTGTCTGACGTTTGTTTGTTTGTGCTGAGACACTTGTTTAGTTTAGTTCTGTTTTGTGCCTTTTTGTTTTGTTTTGTTTTTACTTTGGGACACTTGTGATTTAGTTTTGTTGTATGTCCTTTGGTTTAGTTACTCGTTTTTGTATGTCTATGTGATTCGTTTTTGGCCCAAAACTTGTTATTTTTTCTTTTTTTCATAGTTTAGGTTATTTAATGTGCATATTTAGTACATAGTTTGTTAATTTACCCTTTTACATTCTTTTTAATTAAACATTACTTAATTTATACTAGTTTCTACCTTGTGTTTTTGTTACTTCTTTAAGTCTCGTGAGTTTTGTGGTCCTCTGTGTCTTTTATTTAACTTTTTTTCTTGATTTTGTTCATTTTTTTAAATCATTTTGTATAGCTTTACGCACTTTAACACTTTTTATTTATTGATTTACTTATGATTTTGTGTCTTTTATTGCACTTTGGAAAGCGTCACGTTTATAAAAAGTGGACTGGGTTGAGTTTTACCTCTGAAGCCGATGGAGGAGAAGGCGGACGGCAGGGGCACTGTGGTCGTGATCCTAGAACGTAACACAATTATGTTTACAGGTCAGCAAAAAGTGAACAAAAAGAATAAAACAAAACAAAATAAAGTCATGAAGTTGATTAAAACGATAATTATAATTTTCTGAAATGAACGTACACTCAAGAAAAACAGTGTAAGCGATTATTATTATTAGTGTTGGGAGTAACGAGTTATAAAAGTCACGAATTACTGTAATGTGTCGCTTTTTGCTGTAATGCAGTAATGTTACGGCATTACAGGGGAAAAAAATATAATATTTTACTCGGTACAAATGTCAGTATCGCGCGTTACAATGCATTTTAAACCTGGATTGAAGTGGTGGGTTTTTCGTTTTTCTTCATACAAATTTGCTAAAATCACGGCGATATCAGCAGCGGTGAAATGTGGGAGGTGCGCCCACGTAGACCGTCAGGTGACCGCGGGCGAAAGGACCGACGCAGAACTCCACACTACACTGGGCGAAGTTTAGTTCTGGTTTAGATCTTGTTCAGTTCTGGTTTAGTCCTAGTTTAGTCCTGGTTTAGTCCTGGTTCAGTCCTGGTCCAGTCCTGGTTCAGTCCTGGTTAAGTCCTGGTTTAGACCTGGTTCAGTTCTGGTTTAGTCCTGGTTCAGTCCTGGTTTAGTCCTGGTTTACTCCTGGTTCAGTCCTGGTTAAGTCCTGGTTCAGTCCTGGTTCAGTCCTGGTTTAGACCTGGTTCAGTTCTGGTTTAGTCCTGGTTTAGTCCTGGTTCAGACCTGGTTCAGTCCTGGTTCAGTTCTGGTTCAGTCCTGGTTTAGTCCCGGTTCAGTTCTGGTCCAGACCTGGTTTAGTCCTGGTTCAGTCCTGGTTCAGTCCTGGTCCAGACCTTGTTCAGTCCTGGTTTAGATCTGGTTTAGTCCTAGTTTAGACCTGGTTCAGTTCTGGTTCAGTCCTGGTTTAGACCTGGTTTACTCCTGGTTCAGTCCTGGTTTAGTCCTCGGTTCAGTCCTGGTTTAGACCTGGTTCAGTCCTGGTTTAGTCCTCAGTTCAGTCCTGGTTTAGACCTGGTTCAGTCCTGGTTTAGTCCTGGTTTTCTCCTGGTTCAGTCCTGGTCCAGTCCTGGTTTACTCCTGGTTCAGTCCTGGTCCAGACCTGGTTTAGTCCTGGTTCAGTCCTGGTTCAGTCCTGGTCCAGACCTTGTTCAGTCCTGGTTTAGATCTGGTTTAGTCCTAGTTTAGACCTGGTTCAGTTCTGGTTTAGTCCTGGTTTAGACCTGGTTCAGTCCTGGTTTAGTCCTGATTTGGCCCTGGTTCAGTCCTGGTTCAGTCCTGGTTTAGACCTGGTTTAGTCCTGGTTCAGTCCTGGTTTAGACCTGGTTTACTCCTGGTTCAGTCCTGGTTTAGTCCTGATTTGGACCTGGTTCAGTTCTATTTTAGACCTGGTTCAGTTCTGGTTCAGTTCTGGTTCAGTCCTGGTTTTAGACCTGGTTCAGTCCTGGTTTACTCCTGGTTCAGTCCTGGTTTAGTCCTGATTTGGACCTGGTTCAGTTCTATTTTAGACCTGGTTCAGTTCTGGTTCAGTTCTGGTTCAGTTCTGGTTCAGACCTGGTTCAGTCCTGGTTTAGTCCTGGTTCAGTCCTGGTTTAGACCTGGTTCAGTCCTGGTTTAGACCTGGTTCAGTCCTGGTTTAGTCCTGATTTGGCCCTGGTTCAGTCCTGGTTCAGTCCTGGTTTAGACCTGGTTTAGTCCTGGTTCAGTCCTGGTTTAGACCTGGTTTACTCCTGGTTCAGTCCTGGTTTAGTCCCTGATTTGGACCTGGTTCAGTTCTATTTTAGCCTGGTTCAGTCCTGGTTTACTCCTGGTTCAGTCCTGGTTTAGTCCTGATTTGGACCTGGTTCAGTTCTATTTTAGACCTGGTTCAGTTCTGGTTCAGTTCTGGTTCAGTTCTGGTTCAGACCTGGTTCAGTCCTGGTTTAGTCCTGGTTCAGTTCTGGTTTAGACCTGGTTCAGTCCTGGTTTAGTCCTGGTTCAGTCCTGGTTTAGTCCTGGTTCAGTTCTGGTTTAGACCTGGTTCAGTCCTGGTTTAGTCCTGGTTCAGTCCTGGTTTAGACCTGGTTCAGTCCTGGTTTAGTCCTGATTCAGTCCACATACGGTACAAAAGTTCACCATCTTCGCAGTTATTTTGCTGAGAGTAAATTAAAAGTGCTGCAATAGTCGCGTCACGTTTTATATTTTAAACGCAGTAATATTGTAATGAAACAAATTAATCTGAAACGACTTGCCCACACTCGTCACACCCGAACGTTTACTCATATTTCATCGAGTCTCCGGGTAAGAAACAGTTTTCGAGGAGAAGGAATCGAGGAGCGAGGATTGCGACGCGGCCCGTGAACGCCACAAAACGGGGAAGCGTGGGGGGGGGGGGGGGGGGGCGTACCTGCTCTCCTCTCCTTCCAGCAGCTTCCTGTAGGTGGCGATCTCGATGTCCAGAGCCATCTTCACATTGAGCAGGTCCTGGTACTCCCTCAGGTGACGCGCCATGTCGTCCTGGAACGGAAACAAAACACGCGTCAATCCACGATCACGCCGTTTAAGCCCCGACGCGCGATAAATATAAAACGGCTCGTCCCACGCACACTTGTGATGGTCTTTTCTTAGACTAACCTTGGACCGAAGCCACTTTTCAGAACGTTATTCGTGAAGATAAACGAGAAGAGTTTAAAAGAGTTACACCTGGCTTTAGACCTGGTTTAGTCCTGGTTTAGTCCTGGTTTAGACCTGGTTTAGACCTGGTTTAGTCCTGGTTTAGACCTGGTTTAGACCTGGTTTAGTCCTGGTTTTAGTCCTGGTTTTTAGTCCTGGTTTAGTCCTGGTTTAGACCTGGTTTAGTCCTGGTTTTAGTTCTGGTCTAGACGTGGTTTTAGTCCTGGTTTAGTCCTGGTTTAGACCTGGTTTAGTCCTGGTTTAGTCCTGGTTTACCTGGTTTTCCTGGTTTTAGTTCTGGCTAGACTTGATTTTTAGTCCTGGCTTTAGTCCTAGTTTAGACCTGGTTTTAGTCCTGGTTTTAGTCCTGACTTTAGTCCTGGTTTAGACCTGTTTAGACCTGGTTTACCTGGTTAGTCCTGTCCTGGTTTAGTCCTGGTTTTAGTTCTGGTCTAGACGTGGTTTTAGTCCTGGTTTAGACCTGGTTTAGTCCTGGTTTTAGTTCTGGTCTAGACTTGGTTTTAGTCCTGGTTTAGACCTGGTTTATTCCTGGTTTTAGTCCTGAATTTAGTCCTGGATTAGACCTGGTTTAGTCCTGCTTTTAGTTCTGGTCTAGACTTGGTTTTAGTCCTGGCTTTAGTCCTAGTTTAGACCTGGTTTAGTCCTGGTTTTAGTCCTGACTTTAGTCCTGGTTTAGACCTGGTTTAGACCTGGTTTAGTCCTGGTTTAGTCCTGGTTTTTAGTCCTGACTTTAGTCCTGGTTTAGACCTGGTTTAGACCTGGTTTTAGTCCTGACTTTAGTCCTGGTTTAGACCTGGTTTAGACCTGGTTTTAGTCCTGACTTTAGTCCTGGTTTAGACCTGGTTTAGTCCTGGTTTTAGACCTGGTTAAGTTCTGGTTTAGACCTGGTTTAGTCCTGGTTTAGACCTGGTTTAGTCCTGGTTTATTCCTGGTTTTAGACCTGGTTAAGTTCTGGTTTAGACCTGGTTTAGTCCTGGTTGTTGTTCTTAGACTAACCTTGGACCGAAGCCACTTTTCAGAACGTTATTCATGAAGTTAAACGAGTTTAAAAGAGTTACTTCCTCCGTGGCGCTGATGTTACAGGAAGCACAGAACTCGCAGCAGTCGCGTCTACGGTTACAGAGATTCATGCCGAAGTCTTTCTATTCATATCATAACATAAACACGTTACACTCTGAGGACACACTCGTCAGTCTGGTCCCCACAGAGATAAAGAACATGACCTCTGTCCAGAGCTTTAGGACAGGAGTCTCCAACCTCAAGCTCTGGAACTAACGGCAGCTTTCCTCCCAATCAAAGAAAATAAAAAAATTAAGTGCCGGACTAACACCAAAAGTAGATTTTTATCAGTTAGAGGAGCAGATCTATGGAATAATCTGGATGGCAGGTTAAAAAGATCGGTATCAATTAAGGCAGGGGTGTCAAACGTACGGCCTGGGGGCCAGATTCGGACCTTCAAGACCTTTAATCTGGCCCTGGGCTGATTTTCTACTAAAATATTTTGATTATATTTTCTGCGGTGCTGAGCAGAGCAGCGTCTCCAGCGTCTCTGTACGTGGCCCCTCCCACCCAGCGTCTCCAGCGTCTCTGTACGTGGCCCCTCCCACCAGAGCAGCACAAATGAAGACTTGTCTCTTTTCAAACGCTCTTAACCCTCTCAGGCTCAAATTAAATTTTAGTAACAGGAAAAAATCTGATATTTGGGGAAAATGATCATGTGGGGTAGTGATATACAATCCTGACTTTTTTTTTGAGAGACCTTCACATCCAGTGTGTCTGGGATGTTTTAGATTTGCAACATTGGTTCAGTGTCGTAAATTAACACTGAAGACTGAAAATGACATGAACACTAACTTTATGTGTAAACCACTTTTCATAACAATGAAAACATAAAGCAGAGTGTAACAGCTTTACAAATGCAGAACAAATCACTTTTTCAAGAAACAATTTTTATCCTTTGTAAAGCACAAAAGTATTTTGCACTTCTGGCAGGTCGTTTGTGTGTAGTCGTTCTTGCACAGTTTGCATCGTCCACGTTTATCAGCATGGATGAGAAAAAAGGCTCCTGAGTAAAAAGAAAAAAACTCATAAAATATAGATGTGGAGTAAGTAGGTAATTGGCATTTAGCTGTTGCAAATCTACAACGTCTGCCTGGAGAGGGATAAAGGACGATCGTTTTGACTGTTGACCGTGACACCCTCGTCAGAAAAATGTCCAAAATAAGAAAAGTGGAGCCGAGTGCAGAATTTTACAACAAAAATGGACTTATTCCTATTTACATAAAAGTTCATGTTAAAACTTTGTGTTGAAATTGTATTTTTCTTAAACTTTCAGGTTGTTCATAATATTATAATATTTTGTAAAAGAAAGAGTTCATCAATTAAAAAAGATTTCTGTAATAGATTTGTGTTTCTCTGCACAAATATTTGAACTTATTGTTATTTTTGGGGTTTATATGACATGAGTTTTCTGATCTGGCCCCTTCCCGATCAAAGTTGGTTGGATACGGCCCCCGGACCAAAATGAGTTTGACACCCCTGAATTAAGGCATTTAAAAAATTACACATTTAATTCTGTAGACAAACACAGAGCACTAGAATGATTTAAAGACATATTCTTATTACACAGAGAAATAATAAGGCAAAGCAACAGAAGCAAGTCAGTGTACAGGACTAATGTTGATGATTTTGAAGGAATAAACATGTATATTTTTTCTTAAAGGTTGTATAGAGGATTTTTTAAGCAGCTCCCTCAGTAGAAACATCCCCTCCCGCCTCTTTACTCTAGAAATCACGCTTGTTTACATCCAGTGCGCTTTCAGAATTACCGTTGAAGTGACCTGTCTAGAAATATTTTAGCGACCGACGCGTCAGTTTTTAGACCCTTCGTCAGCTTCATTCGCGCAAGTTTTCGCAGTTCGCAGTTTGGCATCGCTCCTTTTCCCCTTCGCTTCTTCTTTCAGTGATTTCAAAAACTGACTTTCTTTTGCAGCAAACGAGTTGTCGATTCTCTTCCTCCATCGCAACAAACTTTGTGCAAACTGCGAGGACAGTTTGAAAAAGCCTCTAAGAACCACTGCATAAACCACGTGATCCCCGCACGCCGACGAGTCAGTTACACTAGAAACGTAGGGAGTTTGATTGACAACCTGACAGCCAATAGAAAATGAGGTAGCCTTGTTTTCTATTGGCTGATCTTTATCTGGCCTCACTACGTCCACAGTTGATAGATTTTCATTCTTTTTTTTTTTTTGGTCATCATAATTACAAGGCTGCTGCATCTCTGTAATGGTATTTTAAACTTTCAATGACAATTTGAAAAAAAAATAAAAAATCCTCCATACAACCTTTAAGTGTAGGAAGTAGAATTGAGGTTTTTTTTTCCTTTTTTCTCTGTGTTATCCAAGTAATAATAGTAATAATAATGATGATCATTTTAATATAAAAACATTAATGATTAATTGATAATCGATCTTTAATTCTTCCGACGATCGATTAAGAAAATTTCATCGAATGCCCGTCCCTAGAGTGTGAACCGTCCCATATTTAATAAATAAACATAAATATTCATATGTACGTTACACCTTTGGTCACGTCGGAGTAAAGAATCAGGGAGTTGGGGAGACGTTTGTACCTTCATCTTGGCGATGTCCTCCTCCAGGCGAGTGATGGTTTCCTGGTACGATCCAGCCTCACGTCCCATGCGGTCCTCAAGATCCCTCATCTGACGCAGCAGGGACTCGTTCTGCTCGGACACAGGAGGTCAGAGGAGGTCAGAGGAGGTCAGAGGAGGTCAGAGGAGGTCAGAGGTGGTCAGAGGAGGTCAGAGGTCAGAGGTGGTCAGAGGTCAGAGGTCAGAGAGGTCAGAGGTAGGAGGTCAGAGGTGGTCAGGTCAGGAGGTCAGGTCAGGAGGTCAGGTCAGGTCAGGAGAGGTCAGAGGAGGTCAGAGGTGGTCAGAGGTGGTCAGAGGAGGTCAGAGGAGGTCAGAGGTGGTCAGAGGTGGTCAGAGAGGTCAGAGGTGGTCAGAGAGGTCAGAGGTGGTCAGAGAGTCAGAGAGGTCAGAGGAGGTCAGAGAAGGTCAGAGAGGTCAGAGGAGGTCAGAGGAGGTCAGAGGTGGTCAGAGAGAGGTCAGAGGAGGTCAGAGGAGGTCAGAGGTGGTCAGAGGAGGTCAGAGGAGGAGGTCAGAGGTGGTCAGAGGTGGTCAGAGGAGGTCAGAGGAGGTCAGAGGTGGTCAGAGGAGGTCAGAGGAGGTCAGAGGTGGTCAGAGGTGGTCAGAGGTGGTCAGAGAGGTGGTCAGAGGAGGTCAGAGGAGGTCAGAGGTGGTCAGAGAGGTCAGAGGAGTCAGAGGTCAGAAGGTCAGAGGAGGTCAGAGGTCAGAGTCAGAGGTGGTCAGAGGAGGTCAGAGGTCAGAGGTCAGAGTCAGAGGTCAGGAGGTCAGAGGTCAGGTCAGAGGTCAGGAGGTCAGAGGAGGTCAGAGGTGGTCAGAGGTCAGGTCAGAGGTGGTCAGGTCAGAGGTCAGAGGTCAGAGGTAGAGGTCAGAGAGGTCAGAGGTCAGAGGTCAGAGGAGGTCAGAGGAGGAGGTCAGAGGTGGTCAGAGGAGGTCAGAGGTGGTCAGAGGTGGTCAGAGGTCAGAGGTGGTCAGGAGGTCAGTCAGAGGAGTCAGAGGTGGAGGTCAGGAGGTCAAGAGGTGGTCAGAGAGGTCAGAGAGGTCAGAGGTGGTCAGAGGTCAGAGGTGGTCAGAGGAGGTCAGAGGTGGTCAGAGGTCAGAGAGGTCAGAGGTAGGTCAGAGGAGGTCAGAGAGAGGTCAGAGGTCAGGAGGTCAGAGGAGGTCAGAGGTGGTCAGAGAGGTCAGAGGTGGTCAGAGGTCAGAGGAGGTCAGAGAGGTCAGAGGAGGTCAGAGGTGGTCAGAGGAGGGAGAGGTCAGAGGAGGTCAGAGGAGGTCAGAGGTGGTCAGAGGAGGTCAGAGGTGGTCAGAGTGGTCAGAGGAGGTCAGAGGAGGTCAGAGGAGGTCAGAGGTGGTCAGAGTCAGAGGTGGTCAGAGGTGTGTACTCACGGTGCCTTTGAGGGAGTCGATCTCGCAGGTGTAGGACTGGATCTGGTGCCTGTACTCCATGCTCTCCTGCTTGGCCTGGCGCAGGGCGTCGTTGTTCTTGTTCACAGCCTGGTTCAGGTCGGACACCTGCAGCAACAGCACAAACACTGTGGAATTTAGAGGATCAAATCTGACCTGGGACCCCACTTTGGACAGCGCATTTATGTTAGTCCAGGTTACAGTAGTTCCTTGGCCTCCTACTCTAGATCTGTGTGATACTCCAGGTGTCTGTACTTAAGGCCACGTTCAGACTGCAGGGCTCAATGCTCAATTCAAATTTTTTTGTGAAATCCGATTTTTTTTTATGTTATTAGGTTCTTTTTTCAGAGCAAGAGTTTGTTTTTCACACTTGTTTGTCTTTCTCAGAGTCTCGTGATGTTGCTGTGACGTGTTCGCTCAGATGAAACACCTTCGCTGGATTAAAGAGGCAATCGAAATACGGAAACGTGCCCAATGGACGATAAACCGGGACGAGGGGCTTTTTCACTCTCACACACCTGGGATACCGTCCTGAGGAAGTGGAACTGCAGGTGGCGCTGTCGTCCTGCCTCCACCGGTAGGAAAACAGCGCCAAAACCTGTTTAAATCAGCTGAGCGACACGACACAGAAACATCACGAGACTCTGAGGAAGAGCGCACTGTCAGCTATGAAAAACAAACTTTTGGTCTGAAAAAAGAACAACATAAAATGTCAGAAGACCAAATTTCCAATTAAACGTGACTTGTACGTGATCTCCAGTGTGAACTTTAAAGTGTCCCGCATGAGCATTGGAGGACACGACGACGTCACACACAGAGAGCATGTTCAGTGTTTACGGAAGTCGCCTAAACTCTGGGCTTGTCCCCCAAAATCTGGTCCAGTTGTTGGTAAAATGTTCAGGTCACACGTCCACGGCCGCTTCGTTTGTTTGAGTCTTTATCCTCCTTGTTTTTGTGTCGCAGGTTCTTTATTTTTTCGTTGACATTGGAGCCAGGTCCGTCTGTAGCCGCGCTCGGACATTTCTTTGACAATCATTTCAAAAAACGCGTGGTTCCGATTAGACTCCTCCAATTTAACCTGAACACATCGATCCCCCCAAATATGAATAAACCCTCTAACTTCATGACGAGACTCTGAGCCTGACGTGTAGGTGGGATGAATGTGACCTGACCGTTCAGACTGAAGTCGCATGTCAAAAGATCAGATATGTATCGGTTTCAGGAGGAAATATCCAAGTGTCCTGGGTCACATTTGAAAAAAAGTCATTAAAAGATCAGATACAGGAACATAGGGGCCAAAAAATCGGATTTGGGTCACTTCAGGCTGCAGTCTGAACGCAGCCTTAGACTCGTACCAGTCGTCTGCGTCACACCGTAGATCTGTGATAGTCTTTACCTTAGACTTGTACCAGTCCTCGGCCTCTGCGATGTTCTTGGCGGCGATGGCCTCGTACTGGACTCTGATGTCTCTGAGGGCAGCGGTCAGGTCGGGTTTGGACATGTCCATCTGGACCTGGATCTGAGTCTCCTGCATCTGGCTCTGCAGCTCACGGATCTCCTGCACGGACACAACATCAGGTTTGTAAACTTGTCTACTCACACAGGATTAGAAACTCACACCGCTTTTTTCAAGAAACTCTTTTTTAAATTGAGAAAAACATTTTATTACAACATCACAAATAATTAACTCTGTATATATTTTTTCATTTTATTTTTTTATTTTAATTGTAAACGTCTTACATTTCCCGTTTAATTTCCCCCATAGACTTTATTTTAAAAAATTATATTGGAAGTTTAAAATCTTGCTTACGTCTAACGAAAACGCGCCTAATGACCACAAGACCTATGATTTTATTTGATCTGTTTAGGGAACTTTATAAAATGTGAAGTTATTGAAACATTTTGCTGATTTTCAGTTAGTTCACATATCGCTGGTTGGCTTCTGTCGTGCCTTTAAACTCTATGGGAAAACTATGGGAAAAATGAATGGAGGTTTATTAATTTTTCAAAATAAAACCAAAAATAAGAAAACAAAAAAAACAAAAAAAAAACAAAACTTTTTTCTACATTATTTATCCCCAAATCCAAAATGAAAAAATAGATAACGATTTTTTGATTTTGTGTTTAAATGAATAATGGAATAATGGACAACTGATAACTTTTCCTGTTTCCGTGACTTAATCTGCGATACTGAACTGAACCAGGACTAAACCAGGACTGAACCAGGTCTAAATCAGGTCTAAACCAGGTCTAAACAAGAACTGAACCAGATCTAAACCATAACTAAACTGGTCTCAGTCCTGTTCTGGTCCTGGTCCGGTCCTAGTCTAGTCCCAGTCTCAGTCCTGATCTTGTCCCGGTCTGGTCCCAGTCTCAGTCCTAAACCAGGATGAAACCAGGTCTAAACTGGTCTCAGTCCCAGTCTGGTCCTGGTCTAATCCCAGTCTCAGTCCTGATCTTGTCCTGGTCTGATCTTGGTTTCAGTCCCAGTCTCAGTCCTGGTCCTGGTCCCAGTTTCAGTCCTAAACCAGGACTAAACCAGGACTGAGTGTCGGGACGGGCCCGGAGGCGCGCCCGCTTAGACCGTCAGGTGATCAGGACTGAGACCAGGACCAGACCGGGACTCAGACTGGGACCAGACCGAGACCAGACTGGGACTGAGACCGGAATTCAGACCGGAACTCAGACCGGGACCAGACTGAAACCAGATTGGGACTGAGACCAGGACTGAGACCGGTTCAGTCCTGGTTTCGACCTGTTTTAGACCTGGTTTAGACCTGGTTTAGACCTGGTTCGGTCCAGCATCACAGTTTAAGTCACGTAAACGGGAAACTTCCTTTATCCGTTTTTTTTTTCGTTTTTCATTTAAACATAAAATCAAAAACTGAAAAAACAAATCATTATCTTTTTTTTTCATTTTGGTTTTGGAGACAAATAATGAAGAAAAGAGTTTTTTTTTTTCTTTTTCATTTACATATTTTTGGTTTTGAAAAACAAATAAACGAACGACACACGGTTTTGTTGAGCTCCATAAGACGAACTTGACTTCCTGCTCTCTACTCCCCCTGGTGGAAAACTCTCAAACTACATTCTGACCATTTTATCGGCGAGTCCAGGAGTTGGGCGGCGCCTCGTTCCCGGGCTCGTCCGCCTCTCTGTCTGCAGCTGTCCCTCGGCCTTGTGCTCACCGGTTTAAAAATACCCGTGCATCTGCTCACACGCCCTGCGGATGACAGGCCTCTTCAGCCAATCGCGGCGCGCATAGCTCCGGGGTCAAGGGTCGACCTCCAGCGAGACAGAGGCATGTGTCCTCGTCCAGAACTCGATACGAGCTTTGATGAAACTCAAATATTTCGGTATGTGTCAACAGTTCGCCTCCCGTGGCCTCGTTTAAAATACACGAATAGAATTTTATGAAGTGACAAAGGAAGAAAAAAAGCGTGAAACGGTTCGCTAATGGATCACACTTTGAATTTATCTGATCTGGTCCAAGATTTAAAAAATTATCATCAGGTTATTCGTCTTGTTTTCACGTTTATTATCGACTTAAATCTGTGTGTCGTTTGTTTATTCGTTTTTCAATATAAAACCAAAAAAAGAAAACGAAAAATCAACTGTTTTTTTTTCATTATTTGTCTCCAAAACCAAAATGAAAAAAAAAAAACAGATAATGATTTGTTTTTTCAGTTTTCGATTTTGTGTTTAAATGAAAAATGGAAAAAACGGATAACGACCCGTTTATGTGACTTAAACTGCGATGTCGGACTTTTGCGCTGCATACGGACTGAACCAGGACTAATCCAGGTCCGGGACCAGACCGGGACCAGAGTGGGACTGAGACCGAGACCAGACCGGGACTAGAGCAGGACTGAGACCAGACCGGGACCAGACCGAGATCAGACCGAGACCAGACCGAGACCAGACCAGGACCAGAGCGGGACTGAGACCAGATCGGGACCAGACCGGGACCGAGACCAGACCGGGATCAGAACGGGACCAGACCGGGACCAGACCAGAGGCTCAGAGCCCAGGCCAGGCCCCACGGAGGCTCGGAGTCAAAGCTCTGGTCCCGATCTGGTCCCGGACCTGGATCAGTCCTGGTTCAGTCTGTATGTGGCGCAAAATTCCGGCATCGCAGTCACTGAAGTCACGTAAACGGTCATCATCCGTTTTTGGAGACAAATAATGAAGAAAACCAAACCAGAGTCCTGACCCAGCGGGAGCAGCTCTGGTTGCTGCTGTTTTCTGAGTTCATGTTGATAACTTGACATGAGGACGTCCCGCGGTTTTAAAGGGGAACATAGAAAACTTTTGCAAGAGGAGGAACATCTTTCATCTTTCATCAGGCTTTGTAGGGGTGTGATGGGTTAATCGGGGGGACACCATAAATCGGGGCATTTATGACCCAACCACAGACAAGCCATGTCACTAGAATGCAGCTACCGTCATTGAGACCGTCAATACAGCGGCCAAAACAAAAACGGTCACATGACTGCAGGGTCTACAGAGATTCAACACCACAACTCACCATCCTGCTTTAATTAAAGACAAAACAATCCTAAAGCTGATTTATTCTTTATAGAACTTTGTCACAACAGCCGGAAGTGCCGCATTGTAGAGTAAATGTCATTTTTATTCGTGTTTTACACATTGTAAACTTTATGGTTTGTTTAAACTGTTTACCACAACAGCGTCACATGACCGATGTCACGAACAAGCGAATCAGAAAGGAGCGAGTCACAGTGACGTGGTCCAATAAGAACACGACTCGAGCTCCTACGTCAGAGTATCAGTGTTTTCAGGTGTCCACACGGTGCTGGATCAGATCTGTACGAACATGAATTCGTGGGAGCTGGAGGCACCAGATCGTTTTGTCTCTGGAGCCGTTTTCCATCGGATTAATGTGAACGAACACTGCACCCACAACAAAAACAACTCAAATACGACTAGTGTGGACGGGCCTGAGTCTGACAGAAGCTGAACCGCATCAGCGCACAAGGAGCGAGCGCTTAATTCAACATTATTGATATTGCGCCTTGTAGTCCTAAAAATACAGTATATGATCTTTTAGTGAATTCCGCTGATCCATAACGCTGATGTACATCCCATACTAAACCTCCAGCTCTGTCTCTGATAATTCCCTGGTTTGTAGAGTCGGTTTTCAGGAGGGCAGCTGCTGTGGGGGCGAGGAGGTCCGTCCTGGATAATTGCCCCGAAAACGAGCCCTTTATATAAACACCGAGTCTAACTGCCCCTGACGCACGACCCACCTCCTCGTGGATCTTCTTGAGGAAGGCGATCTCCTCCTGCAGGCTCTCGATGCGTCTCTCCAGGTCCAGTCTGGCCAGAGTGGCATTGTCCACATCCTGGAAGACAAAATAAACACTTTTATCACCTTGTTTTTCAGTTTGTTGGTGTTATATTCTAATGCGTGAGATACTGTGGAGTCAGACTGTGGAAAAACCTGAAGCTGTGCCCAAATATTCACAGCTTCAAAAGAAATTATGAAGAGATTTTGCTTTTGTGGTAAAACTTTGACAGTGTCGGGGAGTAACAGATTACATGTACCGGAGTTAAGTAATCAGAGTACAAATGATGAGTAACTGTATTCAGTTACAGTTACTGTTTCTGTGAGCGGTAATTGGATTACAGTTACTTTGTTGAAATAAATGGATTACACAGAGGGATTTTCCTGTTTTCACATTTTGGGCTAAATCCCCTCTTTTTTTTTTTTTTTTCTCAGTAATTCCACTCATTGCTGGAAACTAAACTAGATCTAAACCAGGTCTAAACCAGGTCTAAACCAGGACTAAACCAGGTCTAAACTAACTAAACCAGGTCTAAACCAGGTCTAAACCAGGTCTAAACCAGGAAAACCAGGGTCTAAAAAACTAAACAGGACTCTAAACCAGGTCTAAACTAGATCTACTAAACTAGATCTAAACCAGGTCTAAACCAGGACTAAACCAGGTCTAAACTAGATCTAAACCAGGTCTAAACTAGAACTAAACCAGGTCTAAACCAGGTCTAAACCAGGTCTAAACCAGGATTAAACCATGACTAAAACCAGGTCTAAACTAGAACTAAACCACTAAACCAGGACTAAACCAGGTCTAAACTAGAACTAAACTAAAACCAGGTCTAAACCAGGACTAAACTAAACCAGGACTAAAACCAGGACTAAAACCAGGTCTAAACTAGAACTAAACCAGGACTAAAACCAGGTCTAAACTACTAAACCAACTAAACCAGGTCTAAAACCAGGTCTAAACCAGGACTAAACCAGGACTAAACCAGGACTAAAACCAGGTCTAAACTAGAACTAAACCAGGTCTAAACCAGGTCTAAACCAGATCTAAGCAGGACTAAACCATCCTCGTCTTTGCTTCACTACAGAAAATCAAGTAATCCAAAGTATTCAGATTACGTTACTCACTTTAAGTAATTTAATGGATTATGTTACAAACTACATTTTGGGGGATGTAATCTGTAATCTGTAGGGGATTACATTTTAAAAGCCACCTTCCCAACACTGAACTTTGAGCAACAGCATCTAAAAAACCAAACTGTCTGTGTACGTTCTACTCACAGCTCTGAAGGCAGACAGGTTGTTCTCAGCTTCTTCTTTCTGGTGGATTTCCTCCTGCAGTCTGCAAACAGAGGGAAAAATGAATTATAATAAATATTTTTAAAAGCGTAAACCACTTCTGTCACATAATATTCTGTTATATGTGCATTTTTATCCAGGTTTTGCTGATTCCAAACTGGTCAAATGGAAAAAAAAAAAAAGTGTAATGACAATAACGTTAAAACACACACAGGCCTTTCAGTAAAATGTTTTTATTAGTATTTTATATTTTCCTATTTTAAATTTGCTTTAGGTGTTTAGCAGGAGGGTTGGTAATCATGGTGCCTCGGTTTTAAGGTCACGGTTTTAAAATAACATAAAAAATAAGAAAACGAAAAAGCAGCTATTTGCTTCATTATTTGTCTCTAAAACCAAAATGAAAAAACAGGATGATTTGTTTTTTCAGTTTTCGATTTTGTGTTTAAATGAAAAATGGAAAAAAACAGATAATGGACTGAACCAGCACTAAAACAGGACTAAAACAGGACTAAACCAGGACTAAAACAGGTCTAAACCAGGACTAAACCAGGACTAAAACAGGTCTAAACCAGGACTAAAACAGGATTAAAACAGGACTAAACCAGGACTAAAACAGGACTAAAACAGGACTAAAACAGGACTAAACCAGGTCTAAAACAGGACTAAAACAGGACTAAACCAGGACTAAACCAGTTCTAAACCAGGTCTAAAACAGGACTAAACCAGGACTAAACCAGATCTAAACCAGGACTAAAACAGGACTAAACCAGGACTAAACCAGGACTAAAACCAGGACTAAACAGGACTAAACCAGGACTAAAACAGGACTAAACCAGGACTAAACCAGGACTAAAAACCAGGACTAAAACAGGACTAAACCAGGACTAAAACAGGACTAAACCAGGACTAAATCAGGACTAAACAAGACTAAACCAGGACTAAACCAGGACTAAAAACAGGACTAAAACAGGACTAAAACAGGACTAAACCAGGTCTAAAACCAGGACTAAAAACAGGACTAAACCAGGACTAAACCAGTTCTAAACCAGGTCTAAAACTGGACTAAACCAGGACTAAACCAGATCTAAACCAGGACTGAAACAGGACTAAAACAGATCTAAACCAGGACTAAACCAGGACTAAAACAGATCTAAACCAGGACTAAAACAGGACTAAACCAGGACTAAACCAGGTCTAAAACAGGACTAAAACAGGACTGAACCAGGACTAAAACAGGACTAAAACAGGACTGAACCAGGTCTAAACCAGGACTAAACCAGGACTAAACCAGTTCTAAACCAGGTCTAAAACTGGACTAAACCAGGACTAAACCAGATCTAAACCAGGACTAAAACAGATCTAAACCAGGACTAAACCAGGACTAAACCAGGTCTAAACCAGGACTAAAACAGGACTAAACCAGGTCTAAACCAGGACTAAACCAGATCTAAACCAGGACTAAAACAGGACTAAAACAGATCTAAACCAGGTCTAAACCAGGTCTAAACCAGGTCTAAACCAGGACTAAACCAGGACTAAACCAGGTCTAAAACAGGACTAAAACAGGACTGAACCAGGACTAAAACAGGACTGAACCAGGACGGGGAAACAGGGAGGGCGTTCAATACACGAAAAAAGGAACCTAGAACAGAATGCGAGAAGGAAACAGAGAAGATGTGCACACGAGCAACAAAACACAAAGCAGAACTGGAACAATTCAAATCGGCCGTTTCTGACGGACGGAGCAAACATCATTGGGACAGAGGAGAACAAACATGGCCGCTGGATTAAAGAGGCAATCGAAATATGGAAACGTGCCCACGGGACGATAAACCGGGACGAGGGGTTTTTTTACTCTCACACACCTGGGAAACTGTCCTGAGGAAGTGGGACTGCAGGTGGCGCTGTCGTCCTGCCTCCACCGGTAGGAAAACAGCGCCAAAACCTGTTTAAATCAACTGAACGACACGACACAGAAACATCACGAGACTCTGAGGAAGAGCGCAGGCAGCAGTCGAAACTGTCAGGGATGAAAACAAACTCTTGGTCTGAAAAAAGAACCTAATAACATATATGAGACCAATAAAGTTTGATTCTTTTCGCTGGCGTCTGCTCCTGAATTCTCCCTCAGGTTTACTCCTTCATTCCGTGGTTTTCTTTGGGACGACACTTAAAGGTTGTATGGAGGATTTTTTTTTGTTTTTTTTGTTTCAAGTTGTCAGTGATAGATTATAGATGCAGTCGCCTTGTAATTATGATGACCAAAAAAAAGAGAATAAAAATTCATCAACTCTGGACGTGGTGGGGCTAAACATTTGCCAATAGATAACGACACTGCCTCGTTATCTGTGAGCTGACAGGCTGTCAATCAAACTCCCTACGTTTCTAGTGTAACTGACTTGCCTGCGCCGCCGGTACGTGGTTTACGTACGACTGTCACGCAGTCCACAGACGCAAGACGCACAGACGCTGTTTACTCCACCAACGCAACAGTTCTTAGCGGCTTTTTTTGACCTATATCTTCCTCGCAGTTTGCACAAAGTTTGTTGCAATGGCGACAAGAATCCAGGAGCAGTTTTTGAAGTCGCTGAAAGAAGAAGACAAGGGGAAAAGCAGCGAAGCCAAACTAAGGTGATTCTTGAAGATTCATTCCAGCGATGGCGCGACTGAAGCAGACGCAGGGTCTAAAGACTGAAGCACTGGTCCACAAATTACTCCTGGACAGGAAACTTCTGCTTATTATGAAAACGTACTTTATTTCCAAGAGCGAGACAAACGTTTTTCAGGACACGAAAGCGATATCCTATGTCTGAAAACGTCATTTTCAAGGCAAAGAAAGAGTCCGCTTGCTGCTGCGTGTTGTAGCTAGTTCATTCGCACTGAATCTCCGCGCAACCTTCTCTGCACCCCTTTCCTGCTCCTCTCCCCGCTGCCCGATCCACTCTTCCCCCCGCTCCTCACTTCTCCGGGCACAGAATCTCCGCTCCTCTCTCCTCTCTCCCTGCTCCCTGCTCCTCACTTCTCGTCCTGCGCACGAAATGTCCGCACACCCCTCCCCCCCGCTCCTCACTTCTCCGTCTTGCCGTAACCAACACGCTGTAGTTGGAGTTGAAAAATTAAGGATCGAGGAGAAGGAAGCTCGCAAAGAGAAACGAGAAACGGCCGAAGTCGCAGACACGCGAAGCTGAGCATTTCGTCGGCTCGGAAGGCGATGACCTCACAGATCCTCGGCTGATTCTGAACACCACGTGACCTTTAAGGACCGTAAGGGCGGACCTGTTCACCCCGGGGCAGGTCTGACCTCGGACCTGACGCCCTTTAACTTCGCCGTTGACTTTTTAAAGCGGAGTGTGCAGCTGCCGTCCGCGCTCACATTCTGACCAGGCCGATGCCATAACAGTAATAAAGACGTCCGCTCCTGATTTTACAGGTTCCCGCTGCCGGACTCGTCTCGCCCTGAGCCAAAAACCCGTCTCATTTCTCTTCCCTCGCTTCCTTCGCTCTCGATTCCTCTCCATTTTCAGCGACCAAGGCCACGTTTATATGATGAGCAGAAGATGAAAAAGGTCCAAGGTCCAAGGTCTCGTCCATAATCCGTGTGTCATTCGTTCATTCGTTTTTCAATATAAAAGCAAAAATAAGGAAATGAAAAAACACAGCAATTTTCTCCATTATTTGTCTCCAAAACCAAAATGGAAAAACAGATAAAGATTTGTTTTTTCAGTTTTTGATTTTGTGTTTAAATGAAGAATGGAAAAAACGGATAACGACCGTTTACGTGACTTAAACTGGACTGAACCAGGACTAAAACAAGACTAAAACAGGACTGAAACAAGACTAAAACAGGACTAAAACAGGACTGAAACAGGACTAAAACAGGACTGAAACAGGACTAAAACAAGACTAAACCAGGACTGAAACAGGACTAAATCAAGACTAAATCAAGACTAAACCAGGACTAAACCAGGACTAAAACAAGACTAAAACAGGACTAAAACAGGACTGAAACAAGACTAAAACAGGACTAAAACAGGACTAAAACAGGACTGAAACAGGACTAAAACAGGACTGAAACAGGACTAAAACAAGACTAAATCAAGACTAAATCAAGACTAAACCAGGACTAAACCAGGACTAAACCAGGACTAAACTGGTCTCAGTCCCGATTTCAGTCCTGATCACCCGACAGTCTACGTGGGTGCACCTCTGGGTTTGTTCCGATACTCCTGGTTCAGTCCTGTTTTAGTCCTGGTTCAGTCCTGTTTCAGTCCTGTTTTAGTCCTGGTTCAGTCCTGTTTAAGTCCTGTTTTAGTCCTGGTTCAGTCCTGGTTCAGTCCTGTTTTAGTCCTGTTTTAGTCCTGGTTCAGTCCTGTTTAAGTCCTGTTTTAGTCCTGTTTTAGTCCTGGTTCAGTCCTGTTTAAGTCCTGTTTTAGTCCTGTTTAAGTCCTGGTTCAGTCCTGGTTCAGTCCTGTTTTAGTCCTGTTTTAGTCCTGGTTCAGTCCTGTTTAAGTCCTGTTTTAGTCCTGGTTCAGTCCTGGTTCAGTCCTGTTTTAGTCCTGTTTTAGTCCTGGTTCAGTCCTGTTTAAGTCCTGTTTTAGTCCTGTTTTAGTCCTGTTTAAGTCCTGGTTCAGTCCTGGTTCAGTCCTGTTTTAGTCCTGTTTTAGTCCTGTTTCAGTCCTGTTTAAGTCCTGTTTTAGTCCTGTTTTAGTCCTGTTTAAGTCCTGGTTCAGTCCTGGTTCAGTCCTGTTTTAGTCCTGTTTTAGTCCTGTTTTAGTCCTGTTTTAGTCCTGTTTAAGTCCTGTTTTAGTCCTGTTTTAGTCCTGTTTAAGTCATGGTTCAGTCCTGGTTCAGTCCTGTTTTAGTCCTGGTTCAGTCCTGTTTTAGTCCTGGTTCAGTCCTGTTTTAGTCCTGGTTCAGTCCTGGTTCAGTCCTGTTTTAGTCCTGTTTTAGTCCTGTTTCAGTCTGTTTAGTCCTGTTTTAGTCCTGGTTCAGTCCTGTTTTAGTCCTGGTTCAGTCCTGTTTAAGTCCTGGTTCAGTCCTGGT